TCTCTCTCTCTCTCTCTCTCTCTCTCTCTCTCTCTCTCTCTCGTTCGCTTTGTTCTCTCGTGAAAAATAATGAAAACTACGAGTAATATAAAACCAACAAGTGATTTGCTTCCCTCTCGATTTCTATATCGAGCACAGATCGATTGAGAGGTTCCGAAGAGTCCTCGACGGGGATGAGTATCGAATAGCGTCCAGTTCTCCTGTGGGGCTTGTCGCTGTGGGTTCCGCGCGGTGGAGCGATCGTGGACAACTTCCAGGAGCGCGTACCGGCGGACACAGGTTTGGTGAAGTTCCCGCCACAGAACTGGGAAAAGGAACAGATAGTACCAAAGCCTAAAATGCGAGAGACACGTCGCGGATGACACGTCACTCTCCAAAAGAACAGCTTTTGAAACGTGTTTAATATACGATAACATGTCACATTTTCAGCAGGCCCAGTCTTCTGCTTTTTCCTCTTCGCAAGCTCTACGGAAAGACAAATAGTTATTTTGTTTATAGAAGCATAAAGCCTTTAGAAATCAATCATAGTTTTAAGAATCCCCACTTTTTGAGAGGCTGTTTATGAAGTTAGTCACCTTACAAAAGGCAAAGCAGGTGATATCGAGAACGGGACACGTGTTTTTCCGTGACAGAACGGAGTTGGGAAAGTAATTCTTTGACTGGCGGGTGCCACTGGTAAGTCCTCCTTCTTTACTTTCCCTTTGTTGTTTCTGTCTGTTGATCTTGCTTTTCCCACCACTAAATGGCCATTATTGTTTCAATGAACTTCTCTTTACTCAAACAAACAAACAAATAAATCACTGGAAAAGTTAAAAAGAAGAAGAAGGACGGGAACAAATGTTGGACGCCACTCAGAAGTACCTCCTGTCTTGTTCCTACTTCTGTGGTTCCCAAAGAGCCGCCTCGTCATGTCGCGGTGACTCAGAGCTTGCGCACAGCACAAAATAATGACACTGACCACAACTGACTGTTGAGCTCTGCTGATTGATCGATTGGATCGATCAGATATCTGCCAACAGGGAGCATTATGCTGACCACTTACTGGACCGAGTTCCTGCTTAGGTTCAGAAAATCGTCCAGGAGCGGGATTACAGCCAGGAAGTTGGCGGTGAAACAATGGAAGCATTCTGGGAGAACAGATGTCCGCATCAATATTCAAACTTGATTGCATACCATACACTCCACAGGGACCTTTTAAAGAAATGTAATTACGTAACGGAGTGTTGGGATGTTTACAGGATACCGCAAATAGACAAGGCAGTTGCATTACAAATAATAATAAAACTAATAAATAGCATATTATATACATAATAT